CAGAAACATAAAATATATGAATATTTTCAACGTGAACGAATCAAACATACAGTGTATCTTAAAATTGAGCATACAGCTGGCCGTACATTTCAGAAAAAACAGCTGTACGAGTACGAGCACAACTAAATTTTTGGCTGCTGGCTCATCAACCATTTATTGGTTATCGGTATAGTATTGGTGTGAGTGGGTAAGTAGTTAGAGCTATTTTAGCAAAACTAGATTTCCTAAAAAAAATACATTTACTTGAAATAAAATGAGCCAAACATATTGAATTTTTGCTAATCTGTAGTCATAATAAAGATCTTTAAATACCGCTATTTTTACTAAAATCGACCGTTTTGCTGAAATTACTCAAACTTCATACAATAAAGTCCAAAGCTATACTGATAAATCAATAAATAGTTGTTCAACCACTAGCCAAGATTCCAAAAATCTATCTTCTAATAGTCTTTCAGAAAATTGCCTATTGGTGTATGCTCAATTTTGAGAATGAATTTTAGCTCAGAATAGATGAGCCTTAAGCAAAATGCAGCTAGAAAATTGCTCATCGCCATTTTAAAAAGCTAGTTTAAAAAGGTTGGACAGGCCTGATTTAGATCCAAAGCTATAAAACAAAGTCTATAAGAACGCATAATATGAATATTTACATCCATTCTTCTCGAAAACAAAAGAAGTGCTCCTAGCGAATCCATTTTCTATCCCTTCATTCGAATGCCGAAGTGAGTCCAATGGCGTTTCAATGTGTTGTGACGGAATTGAAACTCGTATGACGGAATCGGAGAAATGGAGCGGTGTTAGATTTTTTATCAATATCTCAACAATTTGTTTCTCTTTATCTGGGTACTGCAACTCACTCCATATGCTTGTCAACTGGGATCCAATGTGAACTGTCAAACGGGAGCCAACCATTCAGGAGGTGAATTCCCATTTTAAAATTCCAGGTTTTTTCTCCCGGATTTCCTGGCCAGAAATATAAAAATTTCAAAGTTACTTATCGTGTTTTTAGAAAATATTTGAATTGCATTATAATGAATTCGAATGTGATTTTTTGTATAGAACTTTGCAATATTACGAGCCAAAATATTAGGATTTTTGTGAATACACGTAGCTGAAACCAATACTTGTTGTTTGCTGTCTTTTTTTTTTGACAAAGTTGGTTTGCTATTCTCCATTTTGTCATTATAATGCTACATATATCACGGTTTTAAAGTCTACTGTAGCTGAAGTCAGGCTCTTTTCATTTTTCAGTTTGACACTGAAAATTATGACAACACTTTTTTTCAAAACGATTAATGGCGATTTGTTAATCTCGCTTCCTAGTTTTGCCAACAAGCCATAATATCATAATTACAGGGCTGATACAAGATTTTCTAAATTTGATCCGCGAAATCCGCGATTTCTCAAAAGAAATCCGCGACTTCAAATACTAACTAACGACAAAAAAAAAAACTGTTTTCATTGCCTAAAAATAGCATTTGTGTACTACTACATGGCATTTAAAGCAACTTAGTGTTCTTTGAAGTTCTTTCACATTTTAATTGAGAGCTTTCTATGTTTGTACCATTCTATGCCCAAGAAAGTAGAGAAATTTTCCAACCCGAAAAATTAATAGACCGAACGGGAATCTAACTCAGTCACCTCCAGCATGGACTTGCTTTGTAGCTGCGCCTTTACCGACTGTGCTATAGGAGTATCGTTTGTAACCCTTGAATTAAAAAAAAAAAACATTGTATCATCTTCAGTTATTTATGCATAGTATAAATTCTGAGTAATTAGTGAACATAATGAAACACCCTTGCAATCGTGTTGCATTACTCATCGAAATTATTATTAAGCGGATGACGTAGTGGAAGCAACAACAATACATAACATTATATGCATACATTTTTTTTTTACAGGTTATAATATATAATATATTTCTCGTTGTGCATGGCATTATTTAGATGAGATTGTTAGTCCTGTCAGTCATCAGTCACACTTTACACCTTACATTTACATCCTTACATTATTGTAAAGAGATAATATTAAGTATAATTACAAATAAAAATATATAATTGCTTAATATAACCTTGAAATTTTAGTGTTACATCCACTTGATATTGGGAGCTGAGGAAACATAGAGCTGCATCTTATTATATGTAAAATATTTATTATTTTCAGTGCAGACTATCAAATATTTTATCTTTATAAAATTATATTCATTATTTCATAATTAATGTTCTGATATATTCCATTGCACATTACATATATTTTCATTATACAAATAAATACTGGGTTGGGAGGGAGCATCAGGGTATCAATTGACCTGAAATTGGACGATGGAGTGGTATGACAACCGGAGTCTAGAAGGGAATAAACACTATCATTTTCTTTATCCTACCGATTCGATTGTGGTGGTGTGAATTCTATTTCAACAGTTTCAGTGAAATTGACGCACCCTTCTTAACAAACCATCCTGTAGGAAGCTTAATAAGTATTGCGAATTGCGTTATTCGATTTGTTGGATCGTATCGTTGGAAGGAGATTCTTAAATTCCCGTGGATTTCGCGTAAGTGTCTCTGCTTACGGGTCCACCCCTCCGTTTTTGGCCCTTCATACAGCGATATTGTGAATTCAGATCGATAGCTCAAATTGATCTTGCTATTAAGTGGAGCTGCATACAAGACAAGATCTTTGAAGGGATGGTGGCTACCTTACATACATACATACATAATGAAACACCCTTGCAATTGAATAATACCAGCCTAGATTGGATGAAATATTATTTAAAAAAATTAATGCTGTTTCATTTGAAATGCAAATTTTCTTTTAACCTTTGCGTCTCTGACGTATTTTGCTGTCCTAAATGTTGTAGTTAATTTGGCTCTAGTTTTCTCAATTTGTTACCGATTCAAACCAACCACCCTGCACATAATCGAGAAATTACCAGAGTTTCATAAGTCACACTTGTTGGTCACGTCGCGGTTGTGTATTTATACGGATATTCCTTGGGTTCTGTCCAATGGTGCGACATTTTCAAGATTTTTTTTTATTTCTAATGTGAACCTAGCACTTTTTGTTGTCAAATCATAACCGAATCGTATATATGTGACTTTGTGAATCATGCACGACTTATTACTATGTATACCGGAAATTATAGGTTTTCCAAATCCTCAGTTGAATTGTTCTACTAGATCAACCAAGACTGCAATAATGTCTGTAGTATCGAAAAATGTCCAATTAGATTCAAAGTTTCTATGTGGACCATGCATGATCTATTTCCGAGGAATCCAGATGTTCAAGGTTCTTTAAATCGTCCTGGAGTTCAGATAATTTGATCTACTAGATCAACCGAGATTGGGACAATGTCTTTAGAATCGAAATATGTTATTGTCATGTATACCAGATATATTAAGTTCTCCAAATCGTTCTGGAGTTCAGATGAGTTATTCTACTAGATCAACCATTACTGGGATAAAGTCTGTAGTTTCGAAATATGTCCAAACAGATTCATAGTGTCTAAATTTGTATTATTTTTTCAGAGGTCAGTAGAGTAATTTAAAATTAAGTAATGGAGCATTGATATTATAAAAATTACTATTTAGAACAAAAGAAAAAAGCAATCAATCAGTTTTCACTCGCTATCTAAAAAAGTGAACGACAACCTAAAGAAATCAGTCGGGGACTTTGTCGTTCAGTTTTTTCCCGGATATTATTGTTAAACAAGCTACAATCAAATAAAAACCGTATTTTCCCATACATTTTTTACCCGCTTTATTACCAGTCGCAAGAGAGCCAAAAAATTCAAAGCGAAGTGCGAAAATTTTCTTTCACGAGCTCAAACTCTCTACATGCCATGTATATGGATATCACACGAGATGTGATTTCCCTTTCACAGACTACAGAATATATTACCTAGTTCTGAAAAAAAATGTTGGAATCCTTATTTATGCAATTAGATTTCCCATCCAGAGGCGGAGCTTGGCAAGTATTTTTGTCGTAGAATATATTAGGAACGGGGATGTAAATCTAACTGAATACATAGAGGTACCATACATGATTTGACCGCACTGCCCTCTGTTAACAATTTACGAAACTAAGTTTATGCGTAATTTCCGATCGATGTCACCATTAAAAATAGCAGTGACAGCGGAAGGAAAATTAACGCAGAAGTATGGTAACATGATTAATTGTACCCGTCACCATACGACATGACCAATTTAACTATAAGAAAGGGAACTCATATCCTTTTAAACAAGATAAAACCATTATAACACTTTTTAAAATAACCAAATTACAATTACAAACTACCAATAGTGAAAATGTGATTTTTGTTTGGTGCACGAGGTAAGATCATCTTGGACTTATTTTAAACTTTAGATTTGTATTTAGTAATTTTTCGTCGTTTTCATCGTCAAAACAAAGTTATAATCACTATGAAAAAAATATCATGGTTAAAGGTTAGATACTAAAAACCATTGAAAAGGCGATTTTGATTATCAAATCTCAATTCCTTAAAAAAAATTAGTTTTTTTTTCAGTGAGAACACAAAACAAAAAATTAAATCAATAAAATCCAGACCGCTTGACTGACCAAGCCGGCGGCGGCACATTCTAAATTGTTTTCGCAGAACGTGCCTGGAATTTTGCAAGAGCTGCTGCTACCCTTCAAATCGGACATTCAACTGTTACACTCCAACAACCCCAAAACAATGCTACCGTTTCACTAGCTTACGTCACAACACGCCTGCCTCTAGATTCGAGTGTGTGTCTCTTATTGTTGCTTCTTGACAGGCGCCGCCGCCAAAATCACAAGAAGGAAGCAAAAGGTAAAATCGTTGCCATGACCTTGAGCCGTGTCATTCAAGAAAATTAATTCAGGTTATTTTCACTTTCCGCACGCCAGAGTTTCCAGCCACCCTCGCACCGAACACCGGTTGACGAGCGGTCGTTTGCGTGAGTACCAATATATGTTTGGTGATCGATTGTAGCTTATTTTTGGATGATACGAGAAGGACTTACCTTTTGTGCTCTCTCCGCGCCAGTTAAGATGCCGGGCTACCTTTTGTGATGCGAGGGATTTCCCTCGACAGGGTAGGCCCACGGTGGTCACCACAAGAGGAGCCCGCAGGGGGCATGGCTTCAAGCCGGAATTCGATTTCGCAGGCGCCACCGGTACGGTACGTGATCCTGTTGAAGAATAAGAAACACTTGCTTTAGAATCACTGCTTCAGCACACAATCTTTCTTGGACAATAAGGACCGCACTTGACTTGTTTACTCAATGGGTACCAACAAAAAAAAAAAACGATCTTCATTCAAATTTATGAACAACAGGATAAAATCTTCGTCTCGCGTGCCGTTAACCGTAAACAACACCCACTGAAAACCAGATATTGCCTCGGGAACACACGGCTTCAAGCCACACACACAATTTATTTCAGATATCGAGGAATTAAATTTACACTGCCTAGTGAATGACCTCGTGTGAGTCTATCGAAGTCTCGTTCAACATCTACGCCGCTTTAACACACTTTGGGGGGTACGATATATGCAATCACTTTTATTCGGTTCATTGTCGAATTTAATCGGATAATTACGGATTGGTCCACCACACCGCATCACATCAGTAATGAAAGCGAGAAAAACATCATATTTACTTTGACCATTGGCATCTTCGGTAGCAGCATCATTGGTACAGTGCTCGGAAGAAGAGGAGACGACGTGCGTGTCGATACAGTTCATGTGTTCATCGAGAGCGATGCACAAACTGAAAACAAAAGTGAAATTTTCACTTTACTTTTCGTGGTAGCAGCTCCTTTTTTTTTGCTGCTGCTGCTAGGTGCTGTCGTTGCCTTTGCACACAAGGCACACGCGTTCGCAACCGTGGATGTGTGCGAGTGCGTGTGAAGCAGTGCTACTACTGTTACAGTTACCCAGGAGGAGGCAGCCCGTAGTCGTCGTCTTCACCATCGTTTTCGTCGGTCTCCGTAGATATACGTGCTCGTATCGTGCTCGCCGTTCGTGCTATCATGCATACATACTACCAAATGGACCGGTCGGGTTGTTTTGTGGTTGATCACGTAAAAGGTGGCCAAGCTGTATCAATTTGTTTTGTATTTTGTTTATACAGGTAGAAGTCTTAGAGATCTTGATATAGCATAAGACCGGGCCTGGACGTCCCAATTAACAGCCAATCAATCAACCAAACAAAGAATGTTAAGTTTAAAGGGACAACATCTATGGAATATGGGAATGCTGCCTATGTCCGTATGTGTAGAAATGTTAAAGGGCTATTTATACTATATCGTACACTGTCCGGGCAGGGTCTCGTCCAAATTATGTTTGCAATTGATTGTGTCTCACCTGATTATAGGCACACAGGTCTGGTGAGAACACATTGGTAAGAATACACGCAATCAATTGCAAACAATGTCATAACCCCGATGGGACCCTGCCCGGACACTGCACGGAATAGTGTAAATAACCCTTAAAACATGTGTTTACATCAGGCATTGCTGATGTGGGTGCGTCACATTTCTATTTGCAAACATAAATAGTGTAGTCGCTTTCGTGTATGTTTGCGTGAGTGCGAGTGTAAGGCTTGGGCATAACTCGAGGTCTAGGATGTACGAGTTTTTCTGCAAACGATCCAGTTCAGCATTCTTGCCTTTTATAATAACCCTAATCATAGATTGGTTTTAAATTGATTCCAATGCAACCGGCTGACGCAATATTATACACCAGTGTTTCTCAATCTATGGGTCGCAACCCACTGGTGGGTCACAAGTTTCCGCACCGCAAAAATTGAGACATCATGGTCATATTTTTTTTAGTTTCGAGCTATATTTTTTTCAAGTTGGATTATGATAGTCCTAATTGATCTAAATTAACAATCTATTCCTATTTCAAGTTTGGAAATTTTGGTTAGTTATAATTTTTTAGGATATTTTTTACCTTTTTAACGTAGCAAGATTATTATGAGAGTTGTCAGACAATTTTGTGCGTTTTTAAAGCTATTCCAGGCTATTTTAGTGTTTTATAGCCATTTTGGTAATTTTAGCTGTTATAAGTTATTTCGGCGTTGAGGATTATTTTAAAGTAGGACGTTTTTAAAAAAGCAACATAAAGTCGGAATCAGGTATATTCTTATAATTTATTCTGTTAGTTGCTTTTCGAATTGATTTTTTTTATACTACTCGTGCGCTTCAGTGTTTTCAAATCGTTTTTGCACATGTAAAGCTGGCGACTGATTTGCAGGATTGTTACAACGGGAGCGGATTTCGCAAATTTAGCATATTTAACGATTTTTGGGATTTGTCGTGAATTTGAACTTTCATTCGTAAAAATCGCAGAAACATTAAATGTTATCGCGAAAATCGCGGAGGGACTGATGTGTTATCACAATAATTTCGGAATTCATTTATGTTTATGGTAATTTTTAGGAAAAATTATCACAATTTTCTTTTTATTGTGTTTAAAATACAGAAGCAGTGATGCCAACATTTCTGTTTAAACTGGATTCTTCGAGTTTCTTGGGACGCATCTAGTGAAACAGTTCAGATTCAGATCTGATGCGTTGCGAAAAAATGACAGCTAAGTTTATTGTCTAACTGTGAAATTTACGTCAACACAACACAAACGTATCTAATATGGGTGGTCATTTAAAGTTTAAAATATTTCAGTTTTTTGAGAATCCATCCAGCTTTATCCAGTTTTCCATTATCAACAGAAAAATATTGGGAAGTATGATTACCAGTACAGAATGATTAAGATGTTTACACATTAATTTTTTTTATATTGGAATTGAAATCTGGAACAGTATTTAATTGAAATGTAATATTACAATGTTGATGGGACGATCAAGCTTGCTTCACGGCAACCGGAGAGGTGTGGTGTGTCATAGCATAGATACGCATTTTGCAAGTTTGATGTTATGAAAGGTGTCGAGAATTTGTACCGAATCTGAAAATTTAAGATCAATGGAAACATCACAAATCTTGTCGTCATTGCTATTGCTCTCTGTTCTCTGTTGTTTTTCTACCAATATTATTTGGAATTATCGGGGTTTCTTAAGCCTTCGTCATCATATCTTGTGAACTTATTTAATGAAATTGATGTAATATCTTAGCTGGTTCTTATGCAGTCTACTCATTTTACAAAATAAAATTTCCTGGGTTTTCCAATTTTTTCCAGAACTTTTCGGATGATATCCATGTTTATAAGAAAGCTGGTTTCTAATTGCATTATAAATATATTATTTTTGGTACAACAACACCTTTATTTCAAGACATGACAATTAGTTTTAAGAGATCAGTTTTACAATCAAATCTATTACAAGTTGAAGTTTAACATTTACTTAAGTCTAAGATATCAAAGCCTTAAGGTTTTCGAATTCCAAGCCCAAGGTCTAGAAAATTTTCAAAGTTTCAAAATCCCAGAATTAGAAGAATGAAGCCATTTGATTAATTTCAGGTTCGCAACCTTAAATTTCAAAGTTCGTAATTTATTTTTTTTTTTTGCTAGTTTTGAAACTTGACAACTTCTTACGTTCCCTAATTTTCTCCCTTATCCTCGGAATATTTAATTTTGAATAAAACACCCTGAACCTTGAAGATTTTTCTAAATCCAGGATCAAATAATTTTCAAAGCATGCAATCTTAAAAAAATCTAAAGTACAGATTTTCCATTTTTTTTTTCCAAACCTTGAATCTTAATCCCAATAGGCTGAAAATCTCTTTAATAAAGCTATAAAAAAAATCTTAATCCTTTTTCTGTGTGGATCTCAACATTTTTGTGGATAAATTGAATTCTCTTATAATTTCCACCATAATACCCTTGAAGATCTTCTGCAGAACACTCTCCAAATTCACTCTGCAATGGTCTTCATATGATTAATCATTCTAGCAATTCCCCGAAAAATACTCCTGAACCAATCTCTTGGAATTCTTCTCCGCATGCACTTAGTATTCTTGTATTCTTTTGAAATTCCCATCTAATTACACCGTGTATTCTATTTTTAATATTTCTTTGAAATAATTTCCTTGGAACGCTTTTTTTAATTTTCTAAAAATTATCAACGGAGTATCCCAGGAATACTTCTCAGAATTTCTTATAAATTTTACTCAAAATTGTGTTGGAACTGTCCTCGGAATTCTGGATTAAATTCTCTTGGAATTATCTTAAAATTTTCCTGAAAACTCTTTTGAAATACTCATAAGAAGAATTATTTTCACTATTATTGTTCTTAAAAATGACAACCTGATTAAATTTATTGCAGAGTAATTCGTTCGGTACAAGCTTTTTTTTATTAGTATTTGGTTTTTAATCAAGTTAATTTGCATTTGAAATTAATATGCATAAATGTTTTTACAGACTGTTTCACAAATGTTAGGCCGCTTTTATTCAATAGAATCTCGTAATGTATATGTGTTTTATTATGTTCACTAAATACTCAGACTTTATACCCCAAAGTACCATAATTCTGCGTACCTAAGACATAAATATGCTCAGTTTGGATAATTTCTAAAATAATTATAAATTGTATATAATTTGTTTGAAATCGTACATGAAGCTATTAACCACTTGTGTAAGGGAAAAATATAAATTAAGATAAAGTAGTAATAAACCTACTGCAAAATTTTGCCGAAATGCACGGAATGAGGTGCTGCACAGAATTGTGCAGCAGACCTCGGTCGTACAACTACCAGGTGCGTGTTCTGGTCAATAGATTTTGCTTCATCGTTCTGTTCGGTTGCTTGGAAGCACAGAATGAACGATAACCTGCTCGCAGACGGATCCTCCGGACGGTACTACGGCTGGAGCCGTATTTTTTGGCGGCAGCCCGATCCAAGAGTACTGGGTTTCTCTTGATCGACCTCATCTTTTTCTTCTTCCTCGCATTTCAAGCTTATAGCATGCTCTCAACTTAGTGTTCTAGAAGTACTTCCACAGTTATTAATTGAGAGCTTTCGATGCCTGTACCATTTTTGCATTAGTATAATTGTGTGGCAAGTACAATCATACTCTATGCCCAGGGAAGTCGAGAAATTTTCCAACCCGAAAAATTCCTAGACCGGACCGGGAATCGAATCACATGGGAGCATGGTCTTGCTTTGTAGCTGTGCCTTTAGCGACTGAGCTAAGGGAGGCCCCAATACTTTACAGTTCAGCTGCCGATCCAAGGTTTCA